TGTGCAACAGCTAGAGGGAAATGGAAACAACAACCCACGTGTGATTGAACTGTTCATGTCTACATAATCAGATGCTCTAAGCTGTGTGTGTGTGTGTGTGTGTGTGTGTGTGTGTGTGTGTGTGTGTGTGTGTGTGTGTGTGTGTGTGTGTGTGTGTGTGTGTGTGTGTGTGTGTGTGTGTGTGTGTGTGTGTGTGTGTGTGTGTGTGTGTGTGTGTGTGTGTGTGTGTGTGTGCATCATAACAGGCCATGTACTGGATTGCCAAAATCCCCCAAGCTGCCACTAAAGGTCACCATGTGTGTGTGTGTGTGTGAGTGTTTTTTTAATACCAGCAAAAACAAAACAAAAGTATTTCCAGGGCTGTTATTATGTGGGATAAAGATCAAGTTGGTGTCTGCCCCAAGTATAAAGAAGGAGGAAAGAAATCAATGGTTAACTGTTGTTTTACCAGCTCAGGCTTCTTCTCAATCTAAAAGTGAAGTTTGGATAGATTGATCGTGTCCTATCTTCTATCTCTCTATGTCTTCCAAACACCTATTCTTTATTTAAAAATAAATAACTGAAATATCAAATGGCAAAAAGTGGACATACAGTATTTACTGATTAAGTTTTAATCCTGAAATATAGATATAGTATATTTTATCATGGATGCAACTACCAATATGTCTATTATATATATATATATATATATATATATATATATATATAAAACACTTAAAAATGATAAAGTGTAGTATAGCTGTAGTTTGTGTTATTAAATCAGAATATACAGCAGATAGCATGTTCAACTTGGGATGATTTCTTTCAATTGACTGTTTTGTTAATGACAAGTCAACACCACTAAAGCAAAGAATATTCAATTTACAATCAAACAAACAGAAAAAAGCTGCTCATCCTCAAACGTATGCATCTGAAACTGTTGTTTGACATTTTTGCTTGATACATGATCGATTGATTATCAAAATAATGTTATTTTATGTTTATAAGCTAATTGATTTTTTAAGTCAGGGTTTCAGCACTCGATTTAATTACTAGAAAAGAGGCTCACATGAGGCATAAAATAAGTATACTAAATCGTTTTAGCAAAAGCTTCATGCTTGATTTTTAAAACACTCAGTCTTTGATTTGCAGATGCTTTTTAATCCAGGTCTGTAAGAAGCAGCGGGGGGGCAAACTAAAAATAATTCCAGGTAATTATAGGTTTACCACATAAGCAGGCATGCGAAGTAGAGACTATTTAAAACTCCCCTCATCAAAAATTGTCACATTTAATATATTATTGCGTAGAAAAATATGCACACATGATCAGATCACTGAAATGCAAGTGAAGCTGAATTTCTCTTTTCTAATTCACATGTAAGATTTCAAATATTTGTGACAGCAGACAAAGTGAGCATTAGAAAGGGGGAGATCAACATTAGCTCGCGCGAGAGAGAAAAGGGAAGTCGAGTGCCTAGTGGCCTCAATAATGACATCAAGTGAACACAGCAGATGTTTGCAAGGGAAGGGGATCTAAAGAAAACAAATCCTAATTCCTGCAGCTGTGTATGTCAACACTGGCACACGGCATTTTCATACATACGCTTTGAAACGGCTCTGCACAAATACACTGAGCCTTCACACAGCTATACTGTATATTGTCCCTATATTAAAGAGTAATCCAGAGAAATCCTCAGTCAAGCAGGCCTCGTGTTGTATGTAGTATAAGCGTTACTAATAGCAAAGCATGTACGCCGATCACAGACGAATGAGAGAGAGATAGAGTGTGTGTCCAAGCACTTCTCTTCAATAAATAATGAAGCAATTAAGCTAATTCCAGACTAAAGGTGCCCTTTCTCCTTTAAACCTTCCATATCACTTCATGGAAACCAATAACGTGTCTTCATGGAACCCAAATGTATTTTCCAAAAAACCGACCCTAATCTTATTAGAACGAATAACCCTAAACTGTTGAAATACAGCTCAACAAAAAAGGACTCGTACTGCTAAAAAGGATCAATTCATCAATCAATAACAGAGCTTCTCACAACAGACATCTAGAAATGTCATAGCAGGAAATGCATAGCTGTATTTAATGATTTTATAATGGTAGCATTCTATTCATGTGTATCACATTCAGGGTGCTGCTATTGTGCCTACTGTATTACTGTCAAGGTTTACTGGGACAACTAATTGAACGGAGCCATCGTTGTTGTGATTAATCTTTGCTTTTTCCTGCCGTGACAAGTTGAAATAGTCTATTACTTGTTCGACAGAAAATGTAATGGCAATTGGAATGGTCAATAAAAGTAATTTATCACGATTGACGTGGTCTACATTGATATTATTTTATATCATTAATAATAATAACATTAATAAAATAGTATTTGGAGGTGCCTTTCACTACGCCCAAGGACACCTTACGATTCATAAAATACTCTAAAAGGTTCAAAACATAATTGACAGTACCTGTACGCTTATATTGTATGCTTCATCAAAACTACGCGCTGTAAGCCTGCCATTTAGAGGAATAATCCACCTATCACAGTGAAGATTTATTTAAGTTAATATTATTTTATATGTAAGCAAGGGTTTTTCTTATTGGATAGAAAGTTGTTTCTATGTCTTATGTGATAAATCTTTAGCGTACCTTGACCCCGCTTTAATGCTGTCATTGTTGTAATTAGAAACTTTAAATAGAATCGTACAGCACTTTCTAATTCCTTGGCGTTTCCATATGCCTGTACATCTGTTTCGGATCTTCTAATGCAGGTGACAAAATCCGGACTTAAAGGGACTTAAGACTTAAGTAGACAAACTCTCATAAATCCACAGGGATCCAGGGTATTTTTTACCCTGACTTAAATAACCCACAAACGTCCTCACTTGGAAGGATTTATATTGTAAGAATATATATGTGCATCACATTGGCAGGAGCACTCCCACAACCAAAACATCACACCACCCCTGATCCAACAATGGCCTCACTAAACCTGTTCAGCAATCCCCCAGACCTTCGCTAAACACACAGAAACCACCTCCTGCAAACTGACTCGACACACAATAGTGAAACCTATCCTGACTGTCATACACTGCCATTCTTAAACTTCAGGTAAGCCCACTGGTAACATGATATTTGACTGCTAAATGGCAGACCCAAATAGTTAATAACCTCAAGGTACAAAGACTCTTGATGTGTCACCCCCTGCTCTTATTTATTGTGAGTATGGTCTTGAAACCTAGTTGAAAGGCAGATAAATGGTTGTCTTGTGGCTAACACCAGGTGACGCTACACCAGTAGCAACACCAGACTTCCTCTAACCTTTAGGGGATAAAACACTTTTCTGGTAATGGCTGCCTCGTCACCACAGCCAGAATAAAACTCTTGCTTTTACCACACCAAGAAACTGTCCAAAAGCCTTAATAGTGCCATTTACTTTGTGGGTGTGTGTGTGTATGTGTATGTGTATGTGTATGTGTATGTGTGTGTGTGTGTGTATGTGTGTGTGTGTGTGTGTGTGTGTGTGTGTGTGTGTGTGTGTGTGTGTGTGTGTGTGTGTGTGTCTGAAGATGAGATAAAGGTGTACTCGCCTCGTAATAATGTGTGACTGAAGGTTACACAATCTGGGCTTAGGACACTTACAGTTAAGCAGACAAACCCTTTAAAGCCCGTACGGATGCTAAGATTTCTCCCCGCGTGTCTTTTTTTGGCTCTGTTTTTCTTGTCCCTCTCCTCCGCCCTCTTATCCACCATTCTCGTTTCCTTTTCCCTCCTTTTGCCCTTTCCAGAAGGTCCTTCCCTAAACCCCAGGGAGAGGGGGAGGAGCCTCGGATGGCGAGGAGGAGCTGGTAATCCGTGCAGTGACCCAGGTCAATTCAATTATCCTGTTTTCTTTCGCTGGCTCGTGTGCCCATTTCACAGCCAACTCCCTTAATGCGCCCAGGATTAGCTTCTCTTACTTTTAATGATCTACCTATCGACGCCTTGGGCCCCGCACAATGTGCACACACACACACACACACACACACACACACACACACACACACACACCCATACACTTTCATGGACACGCGACCACAATCACACACATAGTCAAATGTTTTTCAGCATTAGTTGTTGGTGTAAAGGACTTCACTCAACAATTCTGCAAGGCTGAGGAACAAGAGACACTTTCTCAAAATAAATGTGTGTGTGTTTGTGAATGCATTGTCCTGTTTATGTGGGAGTGTGTATTACATAAACTGCAGTAAGAGGTGTTTTGTATTAACTGTCTGCTTTGACCAAGGCTTCACCTCACACCTCCAAGATTTAAGATAAGCATCTTAGGACTGACACGTTAGGTGTAGAACCTGGCTAATCTCAACCCAGAGGAGAAAAGAGGTCATTTTATACCATTGAACTGTAAGGATTGCTAACAAGCATTACAATATCCTCTCAGGATTCAAAGCCTCGTTCATGTACTGTAAAGTGTCTTGCGCACTGATTAACTTTGTTATAACAAAAGTCGACGGAGAAGTTTGATTGCACCTGCTGCCCATCTGGTTAGAAAGTGTTAGGAAGAGAAGCACAAATACGATTTCACTATAGTTACGTTTTGAAACAACACACTCACTTAATTATCTCACCCAATCGTATTATCTAGTCATTAACTCATTATTTGATGAGATAACGTAGTAGAGGCCAACAAGGAAACTGCATCAACTCTCGGAAACTCTTAAACCTTAAAGTCATCAACTGAGAGCCACAAAGTGTTTTCCAAGACATAAGTGCAGGTCTGCTTTCTTTTGGCCTGCATCCATCCTTACATTTTTAAGAGCCAGTAACAGTCAATTCCACCTGCTTTGGTGGCAGTAAACTAATAACCTAACCAACAAAAAATCCATTATAAAAACATTATTTGGATCTGAAAAAGCATGGTTTACTCTCACATATCATGTGAGTGCGTTGTGTGTATATCAGTCAAACCTTTTCAAATAAGGGAGACAGTAAACAGTGTATGGAGCAGGTTGGTCAGCCTTACCTGGGATTTCCTGTCCGTTGTAGTTCCATCCGGCCACAGCCAGCATGGAGGGCAGGGGAGACCCAGGCCTACTGTCCCGTTCCCTCTCCCTGTCTCGCTCTCTGTCCCAGTTCCTCTCAGCCTGCTGGGTAATATGCCTGACAGTGTCCTTGTTCTTCCTGTTCTTCCTGCGCCCTGACCCTGAGAGGGGTTGCCAGGACCCCTCTCCAGCTCCTCCAGCAGCCCCTCCAGCCCCAGCCTCCCCCTGGCTCTGAGCGGCCCCTCTAGGAGTGTCCCGGGGATGTGAGGAGGAGGCGGGGGACACCTGTTCCTCTTTGACGGTGACAGGCCTGTAGTCGTGTGGCCAGGCGGGCTGGGAGTCGTGGCAGGCTTCCTCCTGGCTCTCATGGCTCTTAGGGGGTTCTTGGTCCTCCTTGCCATACGTGCTGCCTCCCTCGTGGCAGCTGGCGATGGCTGAGTCCCCAGAAGAGTTGGCCGGACTGGTGCGGCGCACGAGCCAAGGGGAGGTGCTGCGACCAGACATGATGGAGGCCAGGGCTTCTGAAGCCATGCCCACGATTCCTCCACCTCCTCCTCCTCCCCCTCCTCCTCCTCCTCCTCCTAAACCTGCTCCTGCACCACCCCCTGCTCCTGCTAAACCCACTCCTCCTCCTCCTCCTCTTCCTCCTCCTCCTTCTCCTCCTCCACCTATGCCGGCAGCAGCCACAGCTCCCATCTCAAAGTCGGTCAGTTCGTCGGCCATCTCAGAGCGGATGCTGATGTCCAGCGCCGCCTTGATGAAGCTGTGGCAGGCCTGGACGATGTCCGTCATCTGCAGGTAGCTGGCGGCTGACATGACCTCGATCACGTTCTTACTGGTGAGGGCGAGGTGCGCAGAGTACATGAAGTCCAGTATGGCTTTGAAGCCTGTCGCAGTGACAATGTCCAGGTGAGTGACAGTAGTCTGGAGGTGAGGGTCTGCCCCTTTTTTAACCTGAAGGGTGAGAAAGATTATTATTAACAGTCTTGTTTATTTTCATACAGTAAATGCACCTTCTGTTATTGCTTTATAACACACAGAATGATCGGAGAGAAAAACAAGGACCTAACACACTCCCTCGACCCGTCTTCCCAGGTGTGGCAGTCCCTTACCTGGCAGTAAAGAGTCTTGAAGTAGCGTGAGGAGGCCAGAAGGACGTTCTTGTGGGCCTTGAAGATCTTTCCCTCCACAATGACACAGGCGTCGCAGAGGATGCCATGCTGCCTCTGCTCATTGAGCTCTCTGAGGAGCTGACGGTAGTGAGAGGAGATCTCCATGTCCTCCTTTCTGTTGTTCATCTGTTTAGCTGAACAAAAGCCTCTCCTCAAAACGTCTGCTGGGAAACAAAACAAAGACAGGCAATAGGTTTACTTCAGCTGTGATATGTGTATGGACATTTGAGTGTACAGGAGCAGAAAGATATAGTACAAGGAAAATGACATCAAAGACACTTTTCTGGCAACATATTCAGGTATTTCTCTGTTAAGTCCATATACATGGATGATGGCTCTAGCTATATTAAAACCCCTTGCTTGGAATGTCAGATTCATTTTCACGTAAGGGGGAAAAAATAAGTAAATTTAGCTGAACCTCTCCTTTCAAGGCGTGCCAGGGTAAGGATATCTCAGTAATGACTGTGACATAAAAAAACAATGACATCAATAGAGACCACATCTCAAATGCTGTAGTTTGATGTCTAAAAACAGCCCAGTAACAAATAGTCAAAAATCTCTGTGTTTAAACCGTGTCTGACAGGTCCATTGGTGTGTGGTGTGTGCATGTGTGTGTGTGTGTGTGTGTGTGTGTGTGTGTGTGTGTGTGTGTGTGGTTAGCTCATTAAAATCGTCAGTTAAAAAGCGTGACACTTTCACAAAACAGTTGAGAGGGAGAAAAACACCTCATTTAGTACAAACCACTTTATCAATAAACAGCCTCAGTTCCTTGTTATTTTTTTCTTCATCCTACTCTCAATTGTGAATATTTAATCATCTGTCTAGTTGAGACGGAAAGTCTCTGTTGAACCTTCACCTCGGTGTTTCTGATCTTTCACAGTTCAGTCTGGGTTGTGAACACAAAGTTTCTTTTCTGAAAACTACACAGAAAAAGATCCTTAATGACAAATTGTGGACCTGCTCAACTGTCAGTGAATGAAGATACAACTTTTCAGTATTCATTGACAGGATTGACAGGATTCTTTTGCAGCTTACAATAAAAGCTCAAGATTAGAATGTTCACCCGAAAAAGATTTGACTAGCTTTTGGTCCCACTTGATCTCTAACATATGGTTGGATTCATATTTCCTGATATGTTCTGCTGTCTTCAGGTTAGATGACTTCTAATGTAATATGTGAGCTAACTCAATAGAAGGAATGCAGGTACAGTAAAGGCCACATAGAAAGGATAGCAGAAGGAAAAAAAAGCCGACCTTAACATTGCTCCGTGTTGAACCATTCAACTAAGTGGCAGAACAACAAAAATCAACCTCATAAGTCCTTGCAAACACCAACACTCACAGAGGGGGAAAAATAACACACAAACACACACAAACACACACACAGGCAGTGCATTAGCCAGAGCATTAGCAGCCGCCGCTCCCGCTCTCGTCTTGGTGAGGGCTAAATCGTGGGGACGCAGAGTGTTACCAAACGCAGCAGTGATTTGTTTTGGGAACGCCACAGCTGTCAGCTCTCATGGGCCATTCTGAGAGATGACAGCTCGGGTTGGCCAAGGTGACAGCAGCGTTTGCTCGGGGGCCGGCACACTTCAGGTCATGTTTAGCAAAGCTCTGCTCAACCTGATGGCTTGTAAGATCAGATAAATCCACAGTGTCTCCCACGTCCACTGGGACAAACACACCTCCCATGAACAGCAGTGGACGGGCTGTAGTGATGGATGGAGTGACGGTGACAACTGCTGAAGCTTCTCTTTCTCCAAAACAAATATAACAACATCCCAAAACTGTCTTCAGTTGTATTAATGCACGGCTCTCTCACAACTTTTCACTTTGACTGGCATTTATTTAAGTCAAGGAAATAAAAAATAGTGTGGAGAATGAAGAATAACAGTGTCCCTCAGAGTTTTGAAAGGCAAGTTTTGAAGCAAGAGTTTTCTCCTCCAGCTCACATCTATTGGCAGTCTAACCTTGAGTTATTCTTTTCTTTCTGTATTGCCCTCATGGAGGTATTGAGAATCTTCACCTCTCACCTTTGCAGAGAAACCGAGGGTTTTAAAGACACAGTGGATCCCCTCCTCCTCCTCTCTTTGCTCTTCTTCTCTCAGGGCCACTGGCACATTAAATTGAATAGTCCCGGTATATAAGATTGGCTCTGACTGAGAATCACATACACACGACAGAAAAAAGTCATTTATTCACTGAGAGAAATACCTCAATACCTTTTCTACCTAAAGGATATCTGTCTCAGAGATGTTTGCCTTCCCTCCAATACAATGGAGGGGATTGCAATTAAAAGTGTGCTGCTCACTTAATTGAAAAACAGTGCCCCAATTACTCAAGATAATCCACACTGTCAGTCTTCAGTCAGTATTTTGGGGGGAGAAAGTAGATCCAGCTCTATTGTATTGGGTCTCAAAATCATAAATCAAACCACAAAGATCTGCATGACAAGATAACACTAGAGGAAACTAAGAAAATATATATTTGAAAATCTTTTTATACAGTAAAACATTCAGGATTTTGGCAACCAAGTATGTGGGACAAGGAGTATTACGTTCTCAGCAAATGTGCGACTATGAATGTGATGTGAATGTGGGTCTCTGATTGCAACCAACACCATGTTAAATGGTGCCTCAAATGCTCAAATGATCAGTGGAGGGTAGCACAGCAGCAAAGGACTAGGAGGAAGAGAGGGAGAGGTCTCATCAGATGTATTGCTTCAACAGACTCAGAGACATACTGAGTCAGTAGTTAGGCAGAGATGAGGAACTTTAAAGGAGTGCGCTTTGACCTCTAAACTCTTCGCTTGCCAAATTGGCTTGTTTAATTTCAGCATTTCCAATTCCCTCCAGTCAAAGACCCCTTTTCCAGATGAACCAATCCCAACGCTTGTATTACAATAGGCACATAAACACCCAGAAAAGCCACTCCAGTGTTCATTATTTATTTTCTCTGAGACCTACTCCATCTTACCCCTCAAGCCTTGACCATCAATAAGGCCAAAACTGGATACTTGTACCATGCGAGTACAGCCTTGGTTTTATTCCCACTTGACACGATAGAGGAAGGTAAGATGAAATGAACTTGTCGAACAAACAGGTAAAGAGAGAGAGGCAGAGACATTTGTGTCTCATCCAAAGCATTAGCAGCCTCACCAAGGCTACAGAAACTAAAGCTTGCTTTCAGGATGTCACAGAGCAGAAAAAAAGCTTTTCATCCCTCTATGAAATTTCACCATGAAAAAAAAACAAGGGAAAAGTCATCAGCAGGCAGGTTGACAGTCTGAGAGCGCTTATTTTGTGGTCAGAGACGATTGTTTCAGTAAAGCATGCAACCGGAGCTCCAAGTCCCTGTCACCCTTCTGAAGCCAAATCAAAAGTGACTGTCCTCCTTAACCCCCCTTCCTTTCCCTCACACAAAATCAAGAGCCCTGATCCCCCCCATAAAACACACACACACATATACCCTGCCCCTAAATACACAAGCACATGCAAGAACAAAAAAACACACACATTGACACGCTTAGCAGAGCCGTCACGGCATCACACCCGGTTTGTCCTGGTCACATCAAGGCAAAGTCACTTTAGGCCCCGGCCAGACGACTAAAGAGAAGAGACGTGTGATGGAGTGAGAGAATGGGGCTTCCTCCTTCTTGTGTTTCTCTTAATTCAGCCTGTCCCTCCGAGCCACTTTCAATGCCTCCTTGACCGCATGGGACCGAGGGGAGACAGTGTGCAAGGTCCTTTTGGATCAGAGGCAGAGATACTTTGTTTGCACGAGGTGTTTCACATTCAGAGCTTTCACAGCAGGCTCATGCTGTGATTTTATGGGGTATTGATACATCACACCACATCAGGGTCTTACAACACACAAAACATCTTCAGGTTGATAATATATGAAACACAACATAGTTTAATAAATAAAACTCGAAGCAAACTGGTCTGCTTTCTTATTATCATTCTTGCAGGCACAAGGTCTGCAGGTTTATTTATGTGCGTTGGCACTATCGAAGCAGTTTCATATACTCTCAGTTGTACTTATTTAAAATTAAGGGATTTCCAGTTGGTCAGGGCATATTTTAATTTAGTGGCCGGTGTGCTGCTTGTAAAATTGCCACCCTCAGCTAATCACTCTACATTCAAATTGTGAACCTCTGCTCAACGAATGTAACAGTTCTGCTCATTATTTGATAAAACGACTTTGGATGGACGAGAATGTCAAACTCGAGTTCACAGAGGCAGTAGTAAAATAAATAAATAAATTTCTATAAATAAATGAAGACAAAAGCAGACTGAGAAAATCTAAAAAGATGCATTTGATGCGCTGACTGAACTTGTTTCTGTAAATGCAAAAATTACTAAAGCAAACATGTATTTTTGGTCATTTAAATATAACTGTCAAAAGTGATAGCTCTAGTAAGACAATTGATAATGATCTCACATCATTTATCTCAGCTCCACATAGGTTTTTCAGCTCATTTTGTGGATACATAGGCAGCTAATTCACTGCTTTGAACCTCTCTCACTGCCATCTCATTAGCATTATTTCTATAAGCAGAAGCTATATTCAGCAAACTTCCTAAACTGACTGTATGCTCTGTCCAGCACCAAATGCAAGGCAGACATGGTCACCAGCTATCAACCATAACATAATGGAGTTTTACGCTCCTAACGTGTTGGTTTGCATCAAAACAGAGTTTAGAGAGTGGTGTATACAGGTGGCTGGAAACGTATATGGTAGATTTTCACATAAGTAACTTCGGCTAACTCATAAACTCTCCATACTGACACAGTGCAGCAATACATCTCCAATATTTATGTTGGGTCACACTATCAGTACATATCATTTCTACTTTTAAAGATACTCTATTTGCAGTGAATTCCCTCCTTTTCACATCTCTACTTTTATCTTGGCATTGTCGTTTTAAATCAGCAGGGAGGATGCAGTAAAAACTGGCCTGAGATTGAAGAAATTAATAATTGTGAAGAAGAAGAAGGAGGAGGAGGGGGATATCATGTCAGGATTCAGTAGCCAAGAATTGGCATTTATGTTGTCAACTATCCCAGCCTCAGTTACAAAAAAAGCAACACGTTTCTACGAGTACAAACTCTGCTGTTATATTTGCTGTAAAGTGTCCTTACTGTAAGGTCATTATTAAA